CGATGTTTTTTTTACAATGATATAAAAGGGAACATTCGAAAAGAAATTGTTAGTATGTTCCAATATGTCGGACTACACGGATTATTTAAGAGAGCTCTACTACACCCCCGGTAAACCGGGTGCATATGCAGGTCCTGAAAAATTATATCAGGCTGTTAAAACGGAAGGCAAATACAAGATTGGTAGACGGAGGATAAGACAGTTTTTAAACAATGAAGATTCTTATAGTCTGTATAAACCTATTCGTAAAACATTTCCGCGTTCAAAGGTGATAGTGAACACAATTGATTCTATGTGGGATGGGGACTTGGCAGACGTTTCAAACATTGCATCTCATAATGATGGTTATAAATTCCTCTTAGTGCTTATTGACATATTTAGCCGATATTTATTTATTATCCCCTTGAAAAATAAACATCACCAAAACATTGTTGACGGTTTAAAATCAGTTTTCCAAAGAGGAAGAAAACCTAAGACCCTTAGAACAGATAAGGGTAGTGAATTCAAAAATCGTTGGGTAAAGACATTTCTGAAGAAAGAGGGAATCAACGTCATGTACACTCAAAATGAAACAAAGGCAAACTATGCCGAACGGGTTATTCGTACCATGAAGAACCTAATGTATCGTTATTTTATGAAAAACCGAACCTACCGATTTGTGAATGTCTTGCAAGACCTGGTGAAAAGTTACAACAATAGACCTCACAGATCATTAGGGGGGAATGCCCCAGTTAATGTAAACCAAGAAAATGCCGATGAAATAAGACTAGCGGCTTATCTGTCGACGAATAAAAAACCAAACCTGGCAAAAAATGATCTGAACAAGCCTAAGGACTCGAGCAAAACAAAAGTGCCCAAAAAAATAAAACCCTTTTTCAAATTAAAAATTGGAGATAATGTCAGAATATCACAGCTAAAACACCCTTTCCAAAGAGACTACCAGCAGAAATGGACAGAAGAGTTTTTTAAAGTGAGTGAAAGATACAAAAGAGGCCAAGTACCTGTGTACAAAGTAAAAGATTTGGCAGACGATCCTATAGAAGGTACTTTCTACGAGTCTGAGCTTCAAAAAGTCGTCAAGTCAGATGACGTTTCTTATAGAGTGGAGAAAATACTTAAAAGAAGACGTCGTGGTACAACCAAGGAAGTGTATGTGAAATGGGAAGGATGGCCAAAGAAATTTAATTCATGGATTCCAGAGAGTTCTCTCGAAAAACAATAAAAGCCACAATTTTCTACAAATTGCCTTTATTCAAGATGAGCGTTCGAATGGTATTGACGTCTACGGACAGCTCTGAATATTTTGAAAACAAACCCCATTGCTTCCGAGTTCATTTGAATAAGCAGATTCACTTTGACGGATATTGGACTGTTGCCCTGACAGAATTTTCTACAGAGAGCTGGATTTCGTCTAAGAAGGAATCAGAATTGTTTGTGTGTTGCGATATTTGTGAGGAAACAATTACTGGGGGAAAAGAGGCACCCCTCCTAAGACGCATATACTTGGGAAAGAAACCAGAAAATATCACTTACGCACTTCCTTATTACATTCCAGTTAAAACTGGCCAATTACAGCAGATTGCTATATATATAACGGACAGAGAAGGAAATTTAGTTTCATTTTTAAACGGACCGGTGACTGTAACACTTCATTTCAAAAAGATTCCTTACGTTTTATGATGAATAGTCAGACTTACGTCAGCGATCCCAGACTATGGGAAGCTTTCTACAAGAACATGGCGGAGAAAAAATTCAACCCGTACAAATACAAACCAAAACAAATCGGGAGAGGTGTGAGAAGTTACAAGTCTTATGTCATTCCACTGAGACCTCACTCACAGTTAGAATCTGTAGATAACAGCCCTCAGGTGACCCCTGTAGCTGCGGTGGAGGAAAGAGCTAAAGTGGAACATGCCAAGGATGTGAAAGAGGGAGCTCCATTTGTCAAAGTGAAGGGAAGTATAAAAAGGCCACGTTCGGACTCTTCTGTCATTCCTTCAAAGAAATTGAAGCCAACAACATCTCAAACTCCGAGGAGAAAACAGGCATCTAAACCCAAACAAAGAAAGACCACCGGAGAAAAGAAAAAGACGTCTGTTAAGAAACAGCGACGAGTACCAAGCAAGAAAACACAGTCTAAGAAAAAGAAAGAATTTAATATTGATAGCTACAGAAGTATCTTCAAGCTGTAAAAATGGCATTTTTAAGCAGTGATAATAAGGACATAGCACAACCAATGGAACTCTCCCTTTTTGCATCCCCCACAAACCAAGTAGCGGTCGAGAAAGTGTATTTTACAGAAGCAAGACCAATTTCTAGCATAGGAGTGTCTGACACACCCATCGAGATCGTGGTGTCAGGCTCAGGAGCAGAATACATTGATTTAAAAAGAAGTAAATTGTACGTAAAAGCCCGAATTCTGAAAGCAGATGGATCGCCACTGGCAGCAAACGAAGAAACTGGTGTGGTGAACTTACCTCTACAAAGCATGTTCTCCCAAATGGATGTCTACTTGAACAACAAATTGGTCTCTTTCAATACCAATAACTACCCGTGGAAGGCTTATCTCAAAACAATTTTGTTCAGCGGGAAAGACGAACTCAATTCACAAAAACAATCTGAGCTGTTCTTTAAAGACGAGGGGAATCTTGGCGACGCAAATGCATACAACGGAGGCAATGCCGGTCTGGTCCTGCGGTATGGTTACACTCTGGAAAGTAAAGTCTTTGAGCTGGAAGGAAACCTGATGGAAGATATCTTTGATATAGATAAATACTTGATTAACGGAGTAGATATCTACATCAAACTCTTTAGATCCAGTGCCCCTTTTGTCATCATGTCTGCCACTTCTGCACCTGCCTACAAGTTAGAATTACAAGACGTCGTGTATAAAGTGGCCAAAGTACGTGTTGATCCAGGTGTTTTGCTCAACCACAGTAAACAGATCGAATCCACCCCTGTGAAGTATACCATATCAAGAAATGAACTAAAAATGAATACCATACCCAAAGGATCTACCGAGTTTTACTGGGACAATATATTTCCACAGGCAGTACCCGATCGAATCGTGGTGGCTCTGGTGGACCAGAAAGCTGTGAATGGGGATTACGCAGCCAACCCCTTTAATTTTGAGCATATGGGATTAACAGATATCGGGATATACGTCAACGGAGAAAGCGTACCTGGAAGACCACTGAAGACGGACTTTACGGCAGGACATTATTCAGCCGCCTATGCTCGTTTATTTGAAGCCTCTGGGAAATGGAACAATGATGCTGGACTGATTATCTCTCGTAATAATTTTGGAAATGGATACTCACTTTTTGTGTTTACGATAGATCCTTGTGGATTTGGAGAAGAGTACTTAAACCTGATTCGTAGGGGAAACACCAGACTGGAATTGAAATTCAAACAAGCAACAACCAAAGCTGCCAATGTCATTGTATTTGCAACTTTTTCATCCCTACTTGAGGTTGATAAATCACGTGACATTAACTACATTCAACCATGAATTCAACACATCTGTTAAACATGGTGAAGACAGATCCTTGCTTAAGACGTTACGTAAAAGGTGTATTTGCTAGTAATACATTGCCTCAAAGAGTTACAGAATTTCCAAGCGCCTTTATCGTCAATACACAACCTTTACCATTACCCGGAGAACACTGGGTGACAATCATTGTGTACAGTCCATTGCAAGCAGAGTTCTTCGACAGCCTTGGAAGATCCCCAGCAGATTACAGTCAAGATATACAAAATTTTGTAAAAACGAACAGTGTAAATTGTCGTTTCAAATCCGTTCGACTTCAACCTCGAAATTCCGATTTATGTGGACTTTATGTATTAGTATTTCTAATTGCAAGATTGTGTTTAAAAAACTCGTTCAATCATGTGTATGATTTATTTTCTAATGACATTCAATCTAATGACGGTTTTGTAAAAAGTTTTATGCATGAATATTTTATGTATCATTAAAAATCATGAAAAGTATATACGGGAGTTATTATATAATTGAATAAATATTTATATGTGTGTGTGACATTGCACCTAACTTCATTTTGAAAAAGTCTGGCGACTGAGAAACATGGAAACAGAGACTATGAATAAATGGTGGAACAATCGTTCCTTGCTACCTTTTTCTGCACCTACCACCATTTTAATATGTGGTAGTACACAAAGCGGAAAAATGCATTTTACTAAAAAACTTTTACAAAACGCTAATGGTATGTTTTCCATACCTGTGGATAGAATAGTGTATGCTTATTCTGAACATCAACCTATGTTTGAGGAAATGACGCAGACGATACCAAACTTATCATTACACCATGGATTGCCTTCTAAAGAAGACATAGAACAGTACACCGAGGGTATGGATCACATGGTACTGGTGCTGGATGATCTCATGTTACAAGTTGCACAATCTCAGGACTGTGTACATCTGTTTACGGTGACATCTCATCATAGAAACGTGAGCACAGTGATGTTGTCCCAGAACCTATATCCTCCGGGAAAATATGCCAGGACCATTTCATTGAACTGCCTCAATGTCATTTTGTTTAAGAATTACCGTGATTCTAGACAGGTCATCACCTTTGGATCTCAGATATTACCAGGACAGGTCCCCTTTTTCAAAGCGGCATACGAATCCGCAACTCGACCAAATTTCGGTTACTTGCATGTTTGTTTAGAACCAACACAAAACAGAGAGTATCAACTAAGGTCTCGTATCCTCCCGGGGGAGGAGATGATCATTTACCAACCTATATAAATAAGAATGATTTTGTCTACTCATTATTTAAACATGAAGCAAACGGTGAAGAAACACGAGGCTTTTTTAAAATTTCTCTTGTATGCTGACAGTGCACAGCAAAAAGTACTCGTTAAAGCCTTGACCAGTGAACAGTATGATGTGCTTAGTGAAATAGCACTTAACATTTATACGGGGACTTATCCTTTACTTAAAAAGTATATAAACCAACTGAAACCTTACGAATCACACATTCGATCTCTGGGATCCAGAGAAGTCAGCAACCGAGAGAAACGTCGGATATTAATCAAACATACTTCTTTAATATCGCTTTTAATAACACCTATTGTGCAACATTTCCAAAGAAAATGGCGAGGGAAATGATACTTGTGCCGAAACTGAAATATGAACATTTACTTCAAAAATTGGACCATGCCAAGGATCACTCGACTCAAGCTATATCCGAGACCGTCCAGACCTCGAAGCAAATTCACGAAGATAGAAGCCAGAATTGCAGCGACCAAGTGGATGACAACCACCTTTTACAAACTGGCACTGGTTATGTCAGTAAGAAAAAAGTCGGAAGACCTCCTGGAATCATTAATGTTCGACGGAAAAAGAAAAAAATTCCCTGGCTTACCTATTAACAATGTTATAACAATGAACAAAAGTGTAATGTGGATCATTTATTTGTAATTGTCTTTCAATAAAAGGATAACATTAAAAACTTTGTTTTTTTTCACAATTAAAATCCAAAGGGCAACGTGTCTAAGTTGGGAAGAATTCTCCTTTTGGTGTACACCATTTTATAATTTTTAGTTTCTACTCTGTTTAGCAATTTCCTCTTTCTACTGTCTCTGGATATTTTACAAGGGTTGACAATTTCGATTTGTCGGTCGTGTGAGGTACAGATGATGGACTTGATGGCATCGAAATTGATCAGTTTTGAGTTGGCCCAGTTCAGTGTAAATCCCCTAACTTTACATTCTTCTTTTCCCGACAACGTACGATAAGCATAATTCTTGGGACCCCCCGAGACAAATTCAACAATGTAACCATCTTGTGGGGCGATCTCGTTAGTCAACTCTCCCAAGTAATTACCAATGGGTAGATAACTCAAGTCGTCCGACTTTTTAGCCTTAAAAATGACACTGTCTGTATCAAAATACAAAACATTCTCGTTTAATTTGTCAAGAACACTGTATAATTTGAGTCGAGCCCACATGGTGGTAAAAGAAGCTAAGAATATGTTGGTTTTGTTATCGAACTGAGTAAACAAAGGGTTGTTACTCCACTCTAAATGGAGTATGTCTCTTGAAACAATGTGAAAATTGTGTGGTACTTTTGTTGGATCTGAAAGCATCTGAAAAAATTTTTCGGCTTCTGCTTCGTGAATAAACATAGACTGTTGCATGCCTAACCTTTGACCAAATTTACCCCAAAAGCTATTTAAACAGAGTTTTGCTAAGCATCGCAAACCGGGATTTTTTTTAATTTTGTTATAGTCTAATTGTATGCCTTCTTTTTCTTTGTATTCCCTGATGTATTTCCATTTAGCTTCTTCCGTAACGCATTCGGCTGGAAATCCCGAAGCCTCCTGTTTGATTTTTAAGAACATATTTACATATTTAGCAAACAATCCCCCCTCACACGACTCGACTTCGTATTTTGACGATTCGGTAAAATGATAGACCTCATAAATATTTAAAATTTTGTATCCTTTAGACGTTGCCGTTTGAATTTCGGGAGTACACCACGTGCCCGTGATGGCTCTGTCTTCTTCAGTACATGTACATTCACTCTGATTTTCACTGTCCGCACATGTGCGACACAGTGGAAACTTTAATTTTCCATTCGAGTTATAAGGAAGTACAGGATGATAAAGTTTTCTAGGAGGTAGAATTTTAATTTTGGCAAGTCCAAAGTACTGTGACAAGTCCTGGAAATTGTCCGTCACAATGGTAGGATGACCAACGGGGTAGCGACAGTATTTGTTGGTCCAAGGATAAAGACTGGTAAAGTCGTAATACTGTATGGTTTCGTCTTCTCCTGCTTTGTAATGTAGTTTAATGGCATTGGTTCTACCACCAAAAAAACTGTCCCGTGGGTCGAGTCGGTCTTGAAGATCTAGGGTCGACACAAACTGTTGCAAAACCGCATTCTTATCCAACTGATATTTAAACTGATGCTCCCATATAGTAACCAAGCTGTATCCCAGATTTTTAAGTTCTTTTTCTCTGTTTATTGTCATATCGTATAATTCTTTGATAGTTTGATTGGTGGAAGGATGTTTGGTGTAATTTCGGTCTTCTGGGAAACAGGAGGGACAGCCGTGGAACACACAACCTAGTTTTGAGATACAAAAAAAATTAAACATTTATGTATTCGTGGTTAAGTCCAGGTACGCCGCCGCCGCCCCCCCCCCCAATTTAGGGGGAAAGGGGGTAAATGTTAGATATAAAAAACAGAACTATATTGCCAGGGCTTACCATAAAATTCGTAAATGGTTCCTTTTCCGTTGGGACTCTGTACAAATCCGTCGCATCTGTAATTGGTCCCCGGGACATGATATTCACCCTCGTTGAGAGCGTGAGAAATGCTTAAAGGATTTCCCCGTTGACGACTTTTTTCCATTAGCCATTCTAACCACTGAATGGAAATCTTGCTATAATTGTCGCGTTTTGTATAACCTTGAGAGGGTACAACTGCTATGGGACTCTTGAAATGCCGTCTTCCTATCTGTATATTTTCCTCCTTCCTCAAGTCAATTAATGACGTCCACGAATCTTCGATGTTGATCACTTCTATTCCCTCAAGCGTGTGGACGTCATACCAAGAACATTCCCCGTCTTTGGTGATTTCTATCTTGTACTTTCCTTTCAAAAATAAAGATTTAAATATCCCCATGCACACGCTTGCAATGGTGACGTAATCAAATGGGTCGATTCCAAACGTGGTACTTTCCTTGACGGTTCCGTCTGCTTGTGGAATGTGTTCTTTGACGGTCGTCACCTTGATCATTAAATTTCGAAATTCCAGACAGCCCCGTCTCAGTATGTCAACGTCCGAGCGACAATATTGCAACATTTCTTCTCGAAAATTAAAGCTTTCGTTCTCTTTCGTTGCATGCCATTCTGCAAGCTTCTTCCGCTCCCCAGTCGACATGGCATCGTATCCGTAATATTTTAATTCTGGATATGGCCCCACGTAATTTTGATGGGCTTTGGTATTAAATAAATGGGGAAAGTAACCTTTGCAGAGTTCCTGTAGACCAAAAGCTTCTGGTATTTTAGCTAGTTTCATGGGAAGGAAATTGAGGGAATCCACAAAAGTTAAATTCAGTTTTTGGGCAATGTGCATGTACATGATTTTGGAACCATTGTATATGATCTTGCTTGGTCGAATGGAGTGTCGGTCGATAAGAACTTCTAAAACGGGATACAGGTCAAAACTTTTGGCATTGTGTGCAACTAAAATCGAGTCCCTGCAGTGTTTACTGGTAATGTAAGCACAAAACTGCTCGGCCGCGCTGTCACCAGAAAACACGAGTTCCCTTTTTCCACAAGTGTCGGTACAAGGGGGAAACATATATTCTCCTTTTCGGGTCCGGGAACATTTTGTACATCGTTTTCCACAATGATGACAGGTAGCACCCTCCACTAGTTCCATTTTTTCGCATTTGTGACAAGTGGTCTGTAGTACGGCAAAGTTTACTTTATGTTGTTGTAGACCGCAGGACGGATCTCGACAGTTTTGACAGAGTCTGCAGTTTAAGCACTGGCGTTCCTCCTTAACACAATGGCGACATCTGATGCAAGACGGTCTGTATCCTTTGTCGCAATGATAAATGTCATCTTGACGCGTCTCAAAATCGTAGAAAATAAATTTCTTGTTTCTCTTTTCCATATCACACGTATACGATTTCTGATAACAATTGTGTTCCCCCGTTTGATATTCCCGACAGTTGGGGCACTGCCACTCTTGACAAATATGTAAATGGGGAGAGCGCTTAGCACGTTCCAGAGTGACTCTACAATTTTTGCATTGGTAAAACACGTCACAGGCGGGGGGATAACTCTCTTTCTTGACAATTCTTTGTTGTTTGTGTCTCTTAAAACACGTCCAAGACCGACAGATCCGACCACAGCAACGACAACCCATTTGGACGTCTGTTTCTGGGCAGTTGTCATGTAAACATACTTCACAAGAGGTGGCACAAGAGTGTTTGGATTTATCTTTATACGGTTTTAAACAAGTATGGCAAAAATACGACGCCTTAAAAAATCCTTGTATCCTAGCAATTCCATGCCAGTGTTTTTCCTGTTCCGAATCCACGTGATACAAATAGAGACGAGGCTTACCCTGATCCTCTGTGACCCTGACAAATTTGTTTCCAACGGCAGAGGACACGACGTTGATCGAGACATCAAGTAAATTTTCAAAAGGTTCGATATCATTCAGACCTAAATACCTGTCATTGGGCACACCGGCTTTTTCACATAGCCCCATGGCCAGCTCCGTTTGCATTTTTTGTCTCGACGTTTTCAAGATATTGTCATAATATGTTTGAGAAATAGTGCGGTGTTTGAGGGCGTGATCTAGCATCGTTCCAGGATCATTCCTCACTAAATTATTCCATGTTACCGTATCTACTTTCTTACACGTTTTTAGAAAACACAGACCGATGGAAATGGCCATACATAAATTGTCATTATTTTGAACGTGAAAAAGTGATTTTTTCCTTTCTATACTATTTTTAGGACCGAAAAGAGTTGTAATGGGTAATTTTCTAGGGTTACCTCCCCCTTTAGGTAAGTCAATGGACCCGATGGTGACTAGCAGGTTTTCATCTACGGGTAAGCTTTCGTTCGAATTGAGTACCTTGGTGATCTCAGACATGACGACATCTGCATTCAATTTTTCCCAGGACTGCAGCGGCACGACGATAGGATTGTTTAAACTCGGATGACTCAGGACCACCCTTCCCAAATCCGCATCATGACCCTTGGCCTGCGACAACAGGTCGTCGAACATCTCGTGTAATTTGTTTTGGATATCTATTAATTTATCCCCCCTCCACTGTTCATTGAATTTGACCTTGAACGTGGTGTCGCGGGCCAGATTTTTCTTGAAGGTCCTGGTATCTCTCTTCCAGATATAGTAAGGTTTTGCTAATGTGTCCTTAGAATCAGAACTTTCCCCACCGCCCCCCACCTGTCTACTTGTAGAAGGTTGATTGCCATCATTGCAAGAATGACACGTTTTTTTAGGAGGAGACTCCATATCAGAGAGAACCTCCTGCCATAAGTCGTCTATGTGCTTTTCCCACTTAAGTTCCTTTTCATGCTGGAGTTCTCTTAATCGGTTCTCGACCTCGACATCACCAACTAAACCATTCGCTGTTGCAAATAACTGCACGGCATCTGAATCCACCAAGGAGTCCAAGATTTCTTTGAGGAGACTACCGTCTGACATGTTCTAAATTAAAAATTTCAGACTGTTTATGAAATTCTTTAAAATATACTTTTCAAAATATAACCTGAAATTCAATAATGTATTATATTTTTTTTATATTGTTACACCGCAACTCATCTAAAGAAAAAAACAAAACCTTTTTTTAACTTCAAAAAAACTTTTATTTAAATTCATAAACAACATGATTGGTATATTCAATTGCAAACATGTAAACTGCATGCTAAAAATCAACTGTATAATCAAAAAAACATCTCTCATAAAATAGCACAAGTTATACACAAAATCCGTGTAAAGTTACACATTATGCAATGTGAAGTGTTAATTTTGATACAAAAAATTAACAGTAAACATATTAAAACTCCTGAGGAATTCACTCGTGTAAAATTCTGGTTCCTTTCTTCTCAAGAAAAAAAGGAATCAGTATAATAAATGTGATGTTTTCAAAATTAACAATATAAGTCATGACAAAAATAATAATAAATTGCACTACCCATGTGCAAAAAACTCCATCACATAAACAAAAAAGGGTGTGTATATGGAAAATTCTGATTTTTTTTTCCAAAATACATAATATAAGTCATAAAAGAGAATACAAATCACACAACCTGCAATCAACTATTCTAAATTGTATTTCTAAAGTAGGAATTTACATTATCTCCCTTCCTGTCTGCAAAGAAAAAATCCACCTTCCAATCAACCAAACATAGAATAATTTTCAAAAATCTCTCTCTCGTAACCTTGCACAGGTTGTATAAAATCAGTGTAAAATTACACATAATAAAACATGACGTGTTAATTCTAATACATAGATTAAAATGTTATTTCAGTTTTTATCATAAAACTAATAAAAAAAATCAAATGTGTAAAATTCTATCTATTGTTCCTTTTCCTTTCTTGAAAAAAGAATCAGTATCATAAATCACAAAAACAATTCTAACATTTTGGAAAAAAATTATCATTTTTTCCTCTCGTCCACAAATGAAACACAGAAAAGTAAGGGAAAAAACATACATATCATACAAACTATAAATTCAAGACATCAATGTCTTGTTACTACAGTGTCATCATGCATATCTCATGTGGTTTCTTTTCACTCTAATGGCCTAAACCTTTGACTCAAACTCTAATAGCTTAAACCTTTGACTCAAACACTAACTTTTTTTTTGCATTTTAGACCTTGTGTGGGCACTAACAGGAGACGGTCTAATTAGGGGTTTCAACGATTGAGGCGTGTGGAAATTTTCACCACTTGCTGTTTCAGGTGTGACAATCTTTGGCTGGGGTGGTGTTGTTGGCTGGGGTGGTGCAGTTGGCTGAGGTGGTGATTGGACTTGGTTAGGGATGTTGGATTCTATTGGTTCATCTTGCGATTGAGGATTGGTGGTATAATGAATTCTTATCTTGATGATGATGATAATCGACAGCTTCAAGAAGACTGTAGCTGTGATTCCCCAAGCTAGGAATCCTAATAAAATTTTTTAATTAGATTGAACATCCTTTATGAAAGAAAACAATTATCTTTCGAGAATAGCAAAACTTATAAAAATATGTACACATTTTTATTAAATTAAAATCTGAGGTCCTTGGAAACATATATTTTTTTTTTACCTGATCACGAGAACTACCAAGAATTTTGTTTACTGCTCTTCAGTTATCAGACACATAATGAATATCAAATTCTATGTCATCATAATCATCATCCGATTCAGAATAATGTCCAACATGTGCCAGCTCATACTTTGATGGCAAACTATTTTTTTTCTTAACAATTTGATTCTTTCTGAATAAATGTTTACCAAGAACACTTGTTTGTTTGTTATTACTAATCATTTTACACCTCGGACATATTTTCCTCATTTTTTTAACATTAAATAACAGTAGAAACATAAAATTTAATACACATGTCAACATGATGATATTCATATACAAACCAAATTTACCATAATATGCATCTTTTTCCTCCCCCTCTGTGTCACTCTGCAGTTTGGCATTCACTGTCATAGATGTCTGCTGTTTGGGATTCGCTGTCATTGATGTCTGCTGTTTGGGATTCACTGTCATTGATGTCCCATCTACACTAACATCTACCAATAAAAGTTTCAGTACACAAAAATTAGTTGCAACAATTCAGGTGTTGTGGATATCCATGAGTAAAAACTTTTACATTTAATTTTTTGATGTAACAAAAAATTACTGGTAATTAACAACTAAATTTTACCATTTTTCATTAAAAAAAAATTCAAAGAATATAATTAACTAATATATACAGTGCTACTCTTTAATTTTAATTTTACAGAAAATTTCAAAGGGTAAATGAGGTTAGAAGCAATCTACAAAAGTAACAAAAGTTTCATAGTGAGCTTTATCTTTTTTTTTCTACTAGAAGGATGTTTAACTTATAACAAATTTTCTTACCAAGAGTCTTGCTGAGCGCCAGCCATGTTGCTTTCATGGTGGTCTCTGTTGCTTTCGTGGTGGTCTCTGTTGCTTTCGTGGTGGTCTCTGTTGCTTTCGTGGTGGCCTCTGTTGCTTCCGTGGTGGTCTCTGTTCTTACTTGGTATATTGTTGTTCGTGTCATACCTACAATATTAAGATGGAGTCATTAAACAATTGGGAAGGATGACTACTAATTTAGTAATCAATAATTCAATTTTATTTTAATGTGCGGTACACTGCTGTTTTTACTTTGATTACTGAAAATTTCAAATTTAACTTCGAGTTCGGCACATTTCTCACCGGAAGTCTTGTTGCTTAGGACCCTCGCTGGTTTTGTGGTAGAGTCTGTTGAACTCCAACTTGGACTTGTCTCCATAGACTCTCTAATAGGTGCTGAAAAGGTACATTAATTATTTGGAATACCAATTCAATCAATAGTCCTCCAAAGGGAAGTATGTCATTAAAATATAAAACACACTCTATTGCGCTAAAATTTTCAACCACTTGGCCTTTGTCAAGCGTATAAAAACGACCATCTTAAACAGAGCTAGGCTAATACACAACTTACTGTGACGTAATACCTCTCGTTGGGACACGAACCCGATCTTAATTTGGCACTTCTAAGGTGCGGATCCAAATACCATACATTGTATCAACTTTTCTCATTTAGATTCAGAGGTGTATTACGCCTATCACTTAAAAAGGCTGAAAATTTTGCTAAGAACTGAAATCCCCCTATTCCGGATGCAGAATTAAAGGGAGTTTTTATGCAAAAAAAGGCTGAAATCAACCAATCGACTGAACGTTTCAGATATTTTCTGCCAAGTTGATTTGTCTTTCGGAACTCATCAGGATTCATAATAATGAACCGACATTCCATAGTAAAAGACACAGTGATGTGATTGGTTTATGAAAATATCACGTGATCACATTTTTTTTCTCACGGTAATCTCAATGAACCGGTCACTATATACCAACACAAATACCACAAGAACATTCCGTATTAGGACAAACAACAAAATTTTTGTATAAATGATAAACTAAGCGGTCAATATAGGTTATATGTATATTGTACCGATTTTACATAAAATTTACTAGACAACTTGACTTGACTTTGATACCCACAAATCTTCTCATTTACATATGTACTTACTGAATACATCGGGGCAAGTATCTCCATCTCTATTTCGCACGACTGGAAAGGGTAGCTTTCTGTTCCCCACTAGATTTATGTTGACTGTGCACTCGGAGACTCGAATTTCGCGAATTTTAAATTGCGCACCAAGAAAAATACTATAACAGTTCCATCGCGTTTGCGTACAATCTACAACTCCAAGGTAGTTTGGACATCTATGACATCTAATTTGCGCACAAACAATTGTATACCAGCCAAAAATTAAACACATCACAAAACACGTCTTCATCTTTCCGTTCATTGGAGTGGCGCGAATTTTGCACGGACTTTTCACCCGTCATCAGTCAGCTGATTGTAAGGGATAAACTAATAGGGTAAAGGCTAATGCGGGAATGAAAAACAATAGTTCTAGTGTGTTGGGATAATTATACTGACATTTAATATGATGGCTCGATCAGTGCAGGAGGAATACATGATTTCAAACTTCATAAATTGCATGTCACTCATACATTTAGACCGTGTAACAGCAGTACTCTCTCTCTCTCTCTCCCTCTCTTTCTTTAAATTTAAAAATATAGAAGAATATAGAAGATAAGATAACACATCAGTATTGTGTCAGTTGAATCTAAAGTAAAACGTACTAAATATCTCATTTCTCTCTCTCTCTCTCTCTCTCTCTCTTTTTTTTTTTTTTTTTTTAATATATATATATATAGTCTTGTGTATCTACATACGGAAATAAAAGTAACAATGCTTGTACTGATACTAGGTCATGTCAGGACACGCTACACTACCTTTGCGCAGGTGTATCGTGATAAAGCGGAATTTTTAAAAATTATTTAGAATTGCGCGCTTCCATTAAAAGAGATTATGATGAAAGGTAAATTATCATCTAACTATGTATGATTAACAGCTAATTATTCAATTGACGTTTTAAAAACTTCAAATGGATATATTAAAAGGGTCGTGACACACACAGATAAAAGCCATGACGTTTACACTTATTGAATACTAGGTCATGTCAGGACACGCTACACTACCTTTGTGCGCAGGTGTATCGTGAAAAAGCGGAATTTTTAAAATGATTTAGAATTGCCCGCTTTCATTTGAAGAGATTAAGTACGACAGATGATGAGCTAATTAATGCATCAAATTAATTACTGTTCCTCATATCCAAACTTAAAAAAAAAATAGCAATGTAACCATGACAAACACCCTAAAAGACTATATACCATTTCTCTTGTATAACTTTTCCGTCTACTTACTTCCTCCCTATGGGTATAAATATGGGAGGAGTAATCTTTAACGGTACCTTTCACCAAAAAAAAAAGAAGAAAGATAGCAGTACTAGTGAGAGAAAAATATGGCAGACGAAATTTTCAACTTTCTGTAAGTAGATCAGATCTTAATCTAATGTTGTTAATTGATAACAATTCTCAATTTTAACTTTTAAAAAGATCGTTGTCGACCAACTTCAGATATCCGATGTATAATGACCAATATTGTTAGTAGGATTTTTTTTTGGTGAACCTG